TGAGGGAAATGAAGAAGAGTCAAGGGAAAGCAACCCAAACCAGCAGGGGAGAAGTGGCTGTCTACTCCTAGATGAGTTGAGAGAGAAGGTAGCCAGCTGCTGGGTGGAAAGGGACCAGGTCTGTGCAGGACCGAAGCAGATGGGCGGACAGGTGCATGGGCAGGTGGCTGCTGATTGGTCCCATCAGCAGCAGGAAACCAAGGAGAGTTGAAGCTCCAGGACGTTTGGAAGTTCTCTGCCTGATTGACACTGGTGCGCACAGGATGCCAGATGACAGGCTGATGGGGCCATTGGCAGCAGTGCTGGGTGGTCACCACTCTGTGAGGTCCAGGTGAGGGAGCTACATCCCTTTCTCCCCTTGTTGTGGTATGTCCAACAGGTTCCTGGGCCTTGTACTCACTGGTTTTGTGTGCCAACTTGACACAAGCTGGAGTCATCAGAAAACCTCAACTGGTGACCTGCCTACACGAGATCCAGTTGTAAGGCATTTTCTCAATTAGTGATCAGTGGGGGAGGGCCCAGCTCCTTGTGGGTGGCACCATTCTTGAGCTGGGTGGTTCTGGGTTCTATAAGAAAGCAGGCTGAGCAAGCCATGAGGAGCAAGCCAGCAAACAGCACCCCTCCATAGCCTCTGACTCAGATCCTGCCTCGGGGCTCCTACCCTGTTTGGATCCTGTCTTCCTTCCTTTGCTGATGAACAACAATGTGGAAATGGAAGCTGAATAAACCCATTTCTCCCTAACCTGCATTTTGGCCTGGTTTCCTTGATGTGATTTTAATAATCTCCTTTGCCACCACAGTCTCAGTTTACTCAAATAGACTTATTCCTGAGAATAAGTCACAGTCTGAGCTGCATGGAGGGTGCCAGGCAGAGGTGATATTTACTTGTTCATCCTGGTGCATGTATATTCTCTATCTTCCAAATGGTGTTGCAAGAAGCTGCTGACAGAATGGGGTCTCTCCAAGTACGACAGTCTGACAGACACTGCCTGTGCCCTGTGGACTAACTTAGAGTAGGCTCTGTTTTTTCTTTGACGCCATGGCTCCTAATATAACTGTGATCTCAATAGGAAACCCTGTTGATCAGCCCTGGAATGGGCTGCCTTGAGAGGGAGAGAGCTCTGTGGCATTCTAGTGTGCAGCCAGAGCTGCTCTTAGCACGTAGACAGAGGGTAGGGAACAACTAGGATCCCAAGTTCATGGAGAAACATGCAGGTGTGTATGGGGTGCACACCTGTAAGCCCAGCGCTCAGGAAGCTGAACAGGATGATGGAGAGTTTGAGGTCAGCCAGGTCTCAAAACAGAAACAAACCCTTAAGAGCAAGAGTGTCAAGGAATTTTCTCAGATCTGGGATTTCCTGTCTTCTCTCAGACGCTACCTCCCTTTTTGTGTTTTGCCGAAAGCCTGAAGCAGGAATGCTTCACATTCCCCAGACAGCCTTCCCACCCAGTTGAAAAGGTGAACTTGACAGATCTCAACAGGAGAGACTGGATTCCTCTGGCCATCCCTCAGGCCAAATGTCCACAAAGCCAGAGAAGCCTTGGGTTGAATTCAGCCCCTCCTCTGCACTGGCTGCTCCAACACAGCCTTTTTCTCTTGCCCTGTCCACACTGTTTGTAAGTGAGAGGTGAATTGCTGGTGGTTACCGAGCATTAACACATACAAGGCACTTATTGCATCTGGGGGAGCGCAATCTGGTGCAAAGATAAGGCGTAGCAAGACTCTTGGCTGTTCCCATTAGTAACGATTGTTTTGAGGGGTGGAAGCAATGTAAGAAGATAGTAATGTTTAGAATTTGAACAGGACTTGTGTCTACTTACTCTTTACATCACATCGCTGTGTATCATCCGGATGGGACTTCTTTCTCTACCCCTCACATCCCATAATACTACATCCTGTCATAGGGTCTGGGCTTGGGTGGTCACTGCATTCTGACTGTGAGGAGGGGACGTGGGACTTCTGTTAGCAGAGGAATGTTTTCTCTCCTTCCAGAGGACTGGCTTCCTGAGAGCGGGGGAATAATGCTCTTTGCTTTGGCGATTACACAGCCTACAGTGAGATTGCAGATGCTAGGATTCCACACCGAGGAGCGTGGATGCCAGAGGGGGCCACAGAGAATCCCATTTCTCAGTGTCTGGAATGCACCATGTCAGAAACATGGGTAGATTGGTTTGATTCCTTCCAAAATAGCAGATTGACAAGCTATATTAATTTTACTGGCTTTAACTCACCAAATACTACTGATTTCACTTGACTGGCATGGCTACTGGTAGTCAAGTATGTAGTTGGTTTTGTTTGTTTTGCTCTTGGGGGTGGGGGCTGCCACCCAGTTTGCCAATAAATCGCATACACAGAGGCTTATTCTTTCTTAATGCCCAACCTTAGCTTGATTTACTTCTAGTAAGTTTTTTTTTTAAGTTATCCTGTCTACTTTTTGCCTCTGGTCTTTCATTTTTATTCTATATTCCTTTCTTTACTTTTTACTCCTCCCTTCTAGATCTCTTCCTCCCAGATTTCTCTTCTATTTATTCTCTCTACCAACCCTGTGTATCCTTTCTCCTGCCTTGCTATTGGCTACTCAGCTTTTTATTAGACCAATCAGGTGTTTTAGACAGGCAAAGTAACACAGCTTCACAGAGTTAAACAAATGCAATATAAAAGAATGCAACACATATTTGCCTCATTTAAGAAATGTTCCACAGCATAAATGAATGTAACACATTTTAAAATAATATTGTACAACAATCATGTGTTCTTTTATTTCATTCTTAATTACTAACATTTGAGACAGAACAGAAAGACAAAAAGAATTATGGAGACACAAGAAAGAAAGCTGTCCTTATCCCAGAGCTCTCTCCAATTGATAAGTAAGAATCCTGGCACAATTAACAGCATTTGCTGTGAGGGCTGTTAACATTTAGGCTTGATTTCTTTCATATAGGTATTTTATGTTAAAATAGCAATGATTCAGGCACAAAGTGTGATCGTGTATGATTTGGGGTAGGCCCTATCCAAGTCATTTACTGGGAATCTCAAACAAGATAGTTATTTTGTTTACAATAAATGCAAAGGTCTGGACATGTTGGAGGGCAATTTCCAGGAGCTTCGGGATGGGGGGATGGCTTTCAAGACTCAGGAAGCAAACAAACTTTGTCTGGGGAAGCTGAAACTTACAAGACTCAGAATGGCCCCTCCCACTGTGACAGAAGAGGCAAACAGCCACCGGAGCAGGAGACTGCTGCCCAGTGTCTGACCTGCTGAGCTATCCCGCAGACATGTAGAGAGCTGCGGACTTGCAGCATTGTGAGTCATCATCCAAGCTGAGGTGGGCTTGTGGGCAGGTTTTTCAGTGATGCAGCTTCTCTTGAGTCATTTTAGCTCCTGTGGGGAGCCCCTCGCCCACACTTCTGTTAGTAACCTTTAATAAGAACTCCTTGGTTCATCAAGTTAGACTTTGGTAGAACCATTACTTTAGGCTATTGTGGATCTCCTGTCTGGGACAAATGTGTGTGTGTGTGTGTGTGTGTGTGTGTGTGTGTGTGTGTGCATGTGTGTTGTGTCTCCCAGTAAAAGTTTCAAACTAGATAATCCCTCATCTTATATGAGGCAGATGAGGTTATATCATTCATTGGTTCACTGTGTTCAAAAACTTTAAGGGCCTGGTTTTTGTGAGGTGGTTTTAATCAGCCCATATGTTCGTATGTTTCTGGTTGGTAAATTCATAGCTCCTAGTATTTTATTGGCAAGGGTAAGTGTAAGTGTTGAAGTTCTGGGGGAAAGTTTTCCTCAAAGCACGTGTTGCAGCAATGATGGGAGAGATTTCCCCATACAAGTGGTAACTGCTCTGAAGAGCAAGACATCCTGGCAATGGAGAGCCAAGAAATACCACACAGTCACACCACACCACAAACCTCACACAAGAGATTTATTGGGAAAGACACAAGAGGGTGGATAACTCTGCTCGGGCAAAAAGCAGCAGAGGGATGAAGGGGAGGCAGGTTTTGTAGAGTTTCTTGGGGATGGAGCTTTCCAGGGTAGGTATTGGTGGGATCTTTGGATGAGTTTTCAAACCCTGCAGTGGGCTTGGACCTTTACCTACAATAAGTTTGCTGTCACTGTATCCAGGTTTGTTTGGGCAAAGGACAGTTGCTTGCTTTACTAACAGGCTGTGGAGCCATTGGCTCCAACATTTGTGCTTAAAACAGAGAACGGCTTTGTGATGGGATCGTCAGGGCAAGCGCAGCCTGAAAGCCACTGCTTTACACATTGTGGGTCAACTTAGAGCAGGCACTACCTGCTCCACACTCCTTGGCAGAACGGTCCCCAGGGTCCCCTATGAACACAGACATATGTGCCCACTGCAGTACCATCTGTTACAGCCTACTACTTTCCTGGGACCTATTCACATCCTTCTGCAGACTTCAGATGTCCCACATGCCTGCCATGTTGATAATAGTTATACTACATTTTTCAGGAATAAGGAGGAAAAAATATTGTAGATATATTTTCCCCATTATTTCCCATTCATTGTTGATTGAATTGACCAGTTCAGAACTTAAGAATATGGGACAGTAGGGAGGGGCTGGCTGTGTAGTGTTACTCTATTAGAAAATATGAAAGAATCGGCCCCATGATTTAAGTTTTCTTGTCTTAAATGTGTGTGTGTGTGTGTAGGGGGAAGTACATGTGTGTACAAGTGGAGGTCAGAGGTCAGTATCATATGTTGTTCCTCAAGTACCATCTGCTCTGGGTTTTTTGTCTTGTTTTGTTTAGTTTGAGACAGGGTCTCTCACTGGTCCAACTTTGCTCAATAGTCTGGACTGGCTGGCCAACAGGCCACAGAGATCCACCTGCCACTTCCTCCCAGAGTGGCTATTGTAAGTACACACCACCATGCCTGGCTTCTCCTCCTCCCCCTCCCTCTCTCCCAGTGGGTTCTTGAAACCCAGCTCAAGTCCTTAAGCTTAGAAAGCAAGCACTCTTCTGAGTCATCACTCATTCCAGCCCCTGACTAAGTTTTCAAAAGTCCTTAGTCAGAGTTGAGAAACTTTATAAAACCTTCACCACGAATTGCTGGTCGCTCCAATGAAGTCTGCCCTCACTGCCACTGGGCCTCTCTTCTAGTGAGACCTGCTGCGGATGCCATTTTTGCTGAGCCAGAGTGGCAGGTAAGACAGGAAGGGCATGGGAAGATGCTCCGTCAGCGCTGTGGAGTCTGCACAAACCTCTTTTCATCTTTATAACGGCTCTAGAAAAGAACTTTAGCTCTGCCCTCAGTGACACTCCGGGGACCTCTACAAGGTGGGCAGTAGAGGAACTGATTAAAGACAGCATGGGACCAAATAATTTATTATTGTTGTATTAAAAAATATAAAGGCTCAAAGAGCTTCTAGTAATTTTCAGTAAGCACAGACAGTTGAGTCACTGAGTGGCACAAGGGGCTTGTTTGCTAAGCTCCTGATTTCCTTGAAACTAAACACTGGGGATTCGAAGTCTAAAATTAGCCCATCATGCTCATGCATGTGAACACAGATAAAAAAAAAAACAAACAAACAAATAAAAACAACCAATGGAAGCTGCCAGATGAAACGGAAATGCCTTATTAGTGTGTTATAAATGAAGCTCTTTACAAATGAACAAGAAATAATCGGCCCTAGGCTCCATTCTAATGTGGCTACACCAGCAAGTGACAGCTAACCTCCCCACCTTGTGCTTTCTACAGCCATCTCCTTCTGGATTCAAGATGGCTGTCGAGCACGGCTCTCAGAACAAGCTTGTAGAAAGGTAAACCGTGTTCTCCCCATTCTTAGGTTACAAGTGCCCCCTTTCAGACTTGGCTACATATGTCCCATCGTGTCCAAGGCAGACACTGAGCAGCCGGTGGCAGAGCAGTCAGTCCTCTGTGCATGATGTGTGCAGTCACACTGTAGTTCAGGTCCCAGCACCCATCTCAGGCACTTCACAAACACTTTAAGTCTAGTTCCAAAGGATCCGGCATGCTTTTCTGGCCTTTGCAAGTACTTTAATGCACATACACACACCCCACACACAGACACACAGACACCAGCACGTCTTTTTTGTTGTTGTTGTTGTTGTTTTTAAATCAACTTTTGTTCATTTGTTTTATAATTTTTTTATTGAGTCTTTGGGGATTTCACACCATGCACCTTAATTCCACCCACCTCCTGGTCCCCCATAAATGCCCCTCACTCCTGCAGCATCCTCCAAAAACAAATTCCCCCTCCTAAATTAATTTAAAAAGAAACAACAAATTACCTCACTCCTCCGTCTTCCCCACCTCTTCTCTATTGCTTTATTTATCCTAGTGACACTGGAGCTGCGGTGTGTCATGCTGTATTTACCTTGTCTACCTCGCCTGCAGATGCTCTTCGCAATGAGTCACGATCTTGGCCAAGGCCTCTGGCACAGTGTTAGCACTGGACCCTCCCCAAAACTGCGCTCAGATATCCTGCTGTTGCCCTGAGTCATGGAGTTCCTGTGGGTAACACTCAGCAGCTCCAGCAGATCATAGATGGGGTAGATGTTAGGGTAAGCCAACCTAAGGCCCAGGATGTGGGCCTGGGTGGTAGCCGAGCTGGTCAGTCCAGGATGCTGGGACCACCCGCTCAGGCTAGGGGTGGAGCCAGCTCTCCACACTCGTGGTGAGGGATGGGGCCACCTCTAATTCTTTATTTTTTAAAACTACTTTTGGAATATTTCCCAATTGGTGTGAATGGACTTCATTCTGGTCCACACAGAGTGTTATTACCTGGCATTCTTATTTTCAGGTTCTCATAGGTATTGGCTGTGACATCAGACATTAAGTAGAATGCCATATTTCATATGTGTGTTTGGTGGCGGGTTCTCCTCAGATTGTATTGTGTGATAGAAAATTCCAACTGCCTTACTAAGAACCTGTTGTGAATCAGTCAAGCATGATGGGATGCCCAAGACGAGCCCGCAGTTACACTCTTTGCTGGGTTTATTTGATCACTGATAGCCACTGCCACCAATTTGGACATATTACACCAAAATGTTGCTGATGAAAATATTAACTAAAAATGATGAGAAATGTCGCTGGGACCAGCGAACATCTGGATGCCATTAAAATGGAGACTTTCCCCTCTACATCCTTACTGCCAAAGTTCAAACCAACCACCCAGAAACTGGCCCTGAGCTAACTCGGTGTTTATGTTTCATTAAAAATGGTTTCAGGGATTTACATCTCTCCGCGTGGCCCAGTTCCCAAGCCTGCAGCGTCATCTCACCCCGCACGCCCAGGAGCAGCTGGCTGTCCCTTGGCTTTGCAGAGAGGGTCTTCTTGGACGTCAATCCCAGGTTCCTTTCTCAGTCCTATAGCCCATCAAGAACCTTTTTAGGCTACATCATCTTGAGAGAAATGAGGAGACCAAAACCAGGATATAAGATTCAACAGTGAGAACATTAAAATAAAATTAAAATTAAAACTACTATGTTGAAATTGGCTTTTAAGTGTCTACCAAATTCCCACTGTGTCACGAACATGTGGAAGGGAAAGTCACACAGTGGCTGGGATCAGCTTTCTATCGCTGCTGGAGGAGTCGCTTTGAACAGTGGGTTAAAGCAGCACAATGCTTCCTTCCTGTTCTAGAAGTTGGAAGTTCAGTTCAGCTATTACTGAATTAAAATCAAGGTGCTGGGCTGGGGAGATAACTCTGTGGGTAAAGTACTTGCCACATAGGCATGAGGACCTGCAGAGTTCGAATCCTCAGAACTCATGTACAATTTAGTAGTGGAAGCACAAACATCTAACCCCGGCATTCCTACAACAAGGTGGACTGTTGCAGAATGTTTGTTTACACTGTGAAGATGTGTCTTTGCCAAGACACCTTCTGATTGGCTTAGAAAAGAGCTGAATGGCCAATAGCTAGGCAAGAAGAGGCTAAGTGGGACATAGAGGACTCTGGGAAGAAGAAGGCAGAGTGGCTAGCCAGACACTGAGGAAGCAGAATGGGCAGTCAGGAGAGATGAGGTAACAAGTCACATGGCAGAACATAGATTAAGAAGTATAGGTTAATTTAAGTTATAAGAACTAACTAGAAACAAGACTAAGCTAAGGCCAAGCCTTTCATAATTAGTAATAAGTCTTGACTGGAGGTAGTGGTGCACACCTTTACAGGAGGCAGAGGCAGGCAGATATCTGTGAGGTTGAGGCCAGCCTGATCTACAAAGGGAGTTCCAGGACAGTCAAGGTGATTATACAGAGAAACTCTGTCTTGAAAAAACCAAAAATAAAAAAGTCTTCATGTGAAAAATCCATCTGCAGTGGGCAACAGAGACAGGAGAAACCTCAGAAGTGTGCAGGCCAGCAAGCCCAGTGAACGGCAAAGAAACGGTCTTAAACAAGGCAATAGGTTGGTGTCTGAACTCGACATGTGTGTCATGGCATGGCACACCTGCACTCTCTCACATACACATCCCTGTGCATGCACCACACACACACACACACACACACACACACACACACACACACACAAACACACACACACACTAAAATCAAAGTGTCCACATAGTGGCATTCCTGTCTGGGAGTTCCTCAGCCATGGGAACTGTGATTTGCCCATGTTTGAAGCCTGGATCCTGGCTTGAGCTTTGCTGTGGATGGCTACATGATATCAGTAAGCGCCTGGAAATGGCTGCAGGGTTCATTTATCTTTGAGGAAGTGGTTGACTTCTGCAGGAGCCTGCCTTGCTTCCTTGTCTTTTCCAGCTCCTACAAGCTGTCCAAGGTCACAGCCCATGCCCTCATCCTTCCTGTTCACAGCTGGTAGAGCTACCCTGGTGGGCCCTTCTGCAGCCCCTAACCACTGCAGGGCAAGGGGCTCCCAGTGAAAGCGCTCCCTCAGGCTGACTAAGAACCTTCCACTTCAGACCCATTAACACCTGCCTAGCACCTCACTGAGGTGACATGGCTCCTTAAAGGTAATGGGTTCTCTCCTACTGCAAAATGGCCATCTTCAGCAGGCACATGCTGCCTCTCAAAATCTTTCTAGAATCCCAGGCATGAAGATGTCTGCAACTCAAATGTTTACCAGTCAAATCCTGAGCTGTTTTTTTTTTTTTTGCAACATTGCATTTTGCCCTCAGAAATAAGACAGACGTTTTCAATTCATGAAGCTGTAAACATGGGGTCGTTCTACAAATTGCTCAAATCCAAATGAATCTCTTGGCTGAAAGTATTTTTTTCCTCAATTTTCCACATGATTATTTCAGTTTTGCTGGTAAGCGTGAGCTGTAGCCAACCTCACTGTTGTAGATTATGTGAGACACTAAGTAATTTTTTTTTGAAACAGCAAGTTGTTTATCCATAATCCTTCATGTTTCAGACTATATGAACAGGATTGGAAGTGTGTGTGTGTGTGTGTGTGTGTGTGTGTGTGTGTGTGTACCTGCATGTGCGTCTATGTGTGGTCTATGCATATATGCATGCATGGGCCAGAGAAGAATACCAAGTATCTTCTGCGTCTCCTCACCTTGAGATAGGTCTCCTTCTGGATTTTGAGCCAGCCTGGCAGTTTGCAAGACCCAGTAATTTCCTGTCTGTCCCCCTTAGCCCTAGGATTGCAGAAAAAATGGCCAAACCTAGTTTTTTATGTGGGTCCCCATATTTATATCGAAGCACTCTTATGTACTGAACCATTTCTCCAGTCCCACACATGCTTCTTAGACCCTGCTTGTCACGCTGTGTTTATGTGTGGTGTCCGTGGATATGCCAGTTAGGGCAAAGAACAGCATCTTGGCCAGGCTCCCCCTCATGAGGATATCATGGACTTGAGACTGACCTGCCTGGCGAGTCCTGGCCTGAAGCCAGGGGTCTAAGATGAAGTGCTTACAGCTGCTTTACAAACACACCATGGGTTTGGCCGATGCTCAACAGAGGACATTTCTTCTACGCTGGGACCTGTGGGATTTACTCGTATTTTTAAATGCAGCTTGGGTTGTCATCTGGATCTCTGCGTAACCTCAGTAGGTGTGCAGAATGGCTGATGGCTCGTTTTCTGTGGTTTCTGGCAGGGTCACACTGTTCTCTGGCCACACCAACACTCTTTCAGGAGGTGCACGCGTATCAAGGTCTGACAGGCCACGTTTTGCCTAGAAGGACTTGGGGAGGCAGAGGCAGTTCGCTAATCACCTAGCTCTACTCTAGGTGGACTGGGGCCTCAAGGCCTTTGCTTCTCCTGTAACACACCCCAACCCCCCTGAAGGTGTCCTCCTTCTCAATGCCACATCTGTCCAGCAGTGTTCACAGTCCCCCAGAGCCTGTCCTGACTGCTGCTTGGCTATCCATGTCAGGGAAGGAGAATATGCAGGACCCATTCTTTTGGACTGTTTTATAAAGTTTGTCACCCCATCTCCTGCAGTGTCCTCAGCTGAACAGCACAACACAGCAGCCCTCATAGTCCCGTCCGCTGTGTGCTGTGAACTGCCTCTCTCCAGCACCTTGCTCTAAGGAAGTCTTTAGGTCCACTGTGAAGTGGAGCAGCCTTGTCCGGGAACCCACAAATGAGAGCTACGCATCCTCTGCCCTCTGAACTTGCTCTGCCCCGCCCAAGCTCTGGCCCACACCCTGCTGCTTTACTGTCACTTCCTCCAATGACCATTGTCTTTGCTCTAATTCTCAGTTTAAATGAAAAAGTCATACTCCTTCTTTTTAAAGTAACAACCCTCTCTCTCTCTCTCTCTCTCTCTCTCTCTCTCTCTCTCTCTCTCTTTCTCTCTCTCTCCCAAAAGGGGAAATGGTGTGGGAAGTTCTTCTGTATATGTATTGATTTTATTGGTTAATGAATAAAGAAGATGCTTTAGGTCAGTGGCTTAACAGAGTAAAGCCAGGCTGAAAGAGATACATAGAGAGAGAGTAGGTGGAGTCAGTGGGAAGCCATGTAGCCGCCTGCAGGAGACAGACACACTGGAACCTTGTTGGTAAGTCACAGCCAAGTGGCCATACACAGATTAACGGAGATGGCTTAGTTTAGGATATAAGAGCTAGCTAAAAATATACTTAAACTATTGGCCAAACAGTATTTTAATTAATGCAGTTTCTATGCGCTTATTTCGGGAGTCTAGGCAGCTAGGAAATGAACTAGCAGTCTCCAACAACACTCTCTCCAACCCTTTAATGAGGGTATTCTTACATTCTGTCTCTGGGACTCAGAAGTGTTGGCTTCTGAGTGTTCCTGTAGGAGCTTCCCTTTTTCAAGTGTCTGACTCAGATCTGCTCAGATTAGATAGATAGATAGATAGATAGATAGATAGATAGATGTACAGACGGACAGAGATAGATAGATCTAATCTGTGCTGAAGTTTAACATCTAAAAGGAAAACTGGGTACATGCTATCAACCCCAGTACTAGGAGATTAAGAAGTACAAAATGGGGATTCTTGTGAGTTCTGGATATTCTGGTCTATATAGTAAGTTCCAGGCCAATCAGGACTACATAATGAAATCCTGTCTCAAAGAAGAGAAAGAAAAAGAAAAAGAGGATTGTTCTTTTCTGGAGGCAGCTGCACAATCGCCCAGCAAATGCCAGCCATATGGATTGTGCAATCAGTACACAAAGTAACCCATTTCTAGCTGTTAAGGTGCATCATCTCCATGCAACTTTATTGTTTCTAATTAAACAACAATAGCTTGCTTCTAGTTAAAGAATAATGCCAAGGGGGTGGGCAGGTTTGGAGATTATTTTAAGTCACTTGCAAGACCGGCCACCCAGCTCAGCACTGAGCTTGCTTGTGCCTGATCCTGTACATGGAAAACATCAGTCCTGCCCCAGGCCTAAGGGACTAAGGAGCAGCTGAGAGTGTTTTCTCCTAAACACGCCAATATTTTCCTATCTGCATGAAAAGCACATGTGCATTTTCCATCAGAAAGAAACCCTTGCTGTTCTGTTGACAGTTTCCAGTGCTGGTGACCATAAACCTGGATATAAATTAATGGCAACATTTTCTCATTGGCGCACACTTTCTCTCAAAGAGTCATCAAGTAATGGAGACCAGGGAAGTCTTCCGATTTTGTCATGTTTTCATGAATGTGGGTACAAATAGTTCTTAAATCCTCTTGAATAAAATGCTAGACGTTACACTTCTGGGTGAAGAGACATGTGAATTTTAACACTTTTAATACTGTTGAACAAACTGTACTGAAAATACTGACACAATCAAACAATGCCATGTGTCTGTGTAAACCCACCAAAGAAGCTTGCCTTCTAAAGAAGGCACCTTGCTCACAAATGAAGACCTCCCCCAAAGCTCCTGAGTCCCTGCCAGCAGAAGAAGGGTGGCTGCAGCCATCTCACTTTGAGTCTTAGTGGCTGTGCTCAAGAGATGTGTGGTGTGTGTATGTGTGTGTTGTGTGTATGTGTGTGTTGTGTGTATGTGCTGTGTTGTGTGTGGGGGG